ATAATTTTCGAAGGCTTCAATATCATGAGTGGTAGGTGGCTGAATTTTACGGAGACTTGCCACGGTCTCCAACCCTCCTCTTTTTTCATCCGGGTTTGGAACCGGCTATGGCGCCATGGCGGAGTGGTCGGATCCTCCTATTGCGTATTACTATAGAGCTTCCTCAAAAACTCTATATTTTTTGTAACCTGCATTCACAGGGAGCAAATAAAGTTAACTGTTTCATCTGGCCACGACCTCTCGTACAATCATTTCTTGCTTCTTTTATCGGATAAACATTTGTGCAGCATAACACTGGTCATATTTTCTATGAACTTGTCAGAACCAATGTCAGTAGTTTAGTTGTTTTAATAGTTGCGCCATCAAAGCGATATTTGCCCCCTTACCTGTTCATTCTTTTCCCTTTCTCCGGTTGTGATTTTTAGCAGACAACGGTTCATACCTTGCTGCGTAGCGCGTAGTAGCCACTTTCTTTCTTGACATAGTGACAATTTTCCTTTCAGAAATTTTTAAAGTACGCTTAACGCCATTTTCGTCGAGGAATTCATTTCAGTCATCAGCTTTCCTTTAACATGAATCATTAAAAGTGCACGTCGACAGGAAAAAAAATTTTTCCTTACCTTTTTATTACCTTTGATTTCCATAGGCTTGACGTATTCATTAAACGCAATCTAATCTTCCTTGAATTTTATCTTCATATTTTCTTCAATATTTGCAGTTAACGATGACTGTTCATTTGTTACCATTCTTTTATGTTTCGTTAATGCTTATTTCACACCAGACGTCACCTGTAGAGCACCGATGACTCAGCTGACCTCAACTGATATTTATTTTTACGTCCTTCCAATCGAATGGCCGGAAAGCCCTATCTAAAGCAAACCAATGAGTTGACTTGAAGCGAATGTCGTCGTTCGTTCGGAAGATAAAAACGTGATATATTTCATATTAATCATTTCGCAGAACAAATGCTACTGGTGACTCATTATAGTGTAGGTCGGTATTACCCTAAAGTGTCCTTATATGAGCCGGTTTGTTAAACCGCTGCTACTGCTATTTCCAGAATCGACCAGTTAGCTTTATAACGATTTTAGGAAATAAGCTTCACTGTAATTCGCTTAGCACTCTAGCCACTGACAAACAAAAACACGAAACTAAGGAGCAAACTGGACAAACTGTGCGCCTCCCACAGATTGTTGAAATCAAAGATTTAAAACGGTATGGCCGATGTTATTACGTTGGAGTGT